CATTAAAGACAGACCCTGTCTGCCTGCAAGCACGAAGCCCATCCCCCACCTCTTCAGCCTACATAACCTCCCCACTCAGTCTCAGGGACCTGCCCAAAACTAAATACTAACTCAATTCCAATGACAAAACACCCCTGCTGTGGCTTAATCTGCCAGACCACAAACTGAAGATTCATAGGAACTGTGGGCTACAGCTCCTACAGGAATCCATATACTAACTAGTTGTGGGTCAGAACCCACCCCAAGCATTTCAATAAGTGGCAAAACCGAGAGGGAGCCAAAACAAGAGTAATAACATTTGAGATTAACTGAAGAAGCGCAGAGGGCAGGAATCCCTGGCGGCTAGGGCGAAGGTCGCCAGAGGCTCAGAATCCAAAGCACAAAGGAGCCAAGACAGAGCTCCCGGATTCAGATCCACAGAAATAGGAGGGGTCTAGAGGCTGGGAGACTTGTAGCCAATGGAACTTGGAGCAGAGGCAGAAGGGTGTATACCCATGGGCCCATTGGCCAGGCTAGGTGATCTGGGCCCACAGCCTGGGAGAGACAGAGTGGCTGGACTGAATAGGGGCCTCAGAGTCGCCAAGTCACGGAGACACGCCGCAGGAACATCTAGGGTGCCTTGCCGACCTTGGGTCGTTCCGAACTAGTTGTATTTTCTTTTTCTTTTTTCTTTTGGTGCTGGGAGGGGGTGCACTCACGGTTTGCTCACATACGTCTGGGCGAGAGGAAATAAGGGAACCCGCTCCCACCTCCAGCACTCTCCTCTGCCAGGAACACACGCTCCTGGGCTAGGCTGAGACTACGATTGGGTCTGCCTTTTTTCTCGGGTTTGAAAGAGAGCCCAGCTAGTGCAGTGAAGTGGGGTGCTGCACCGCAGATTCCTTAGAGCGACAAGCCCAATGGGACGGAGCCAGTGGCTCACACTCACCAACCACTCATAGGAAACCATATACAGGTGACAGGGCTGGGCTGTGTGTACTACTCGGTCGGCTTGCACTCACTGATTTGAGAGCCATCCCATTGTAGCACTGTGGGCTGGAGTGCCACTCAAGGGCCTTTTGGTCTGCTGGGTCGGAGGCTCAAGCTCACGGGCCACTCTTCAGAGGCCCAGTGCGGGGGACACAGATACTCGTTTTCACTGGTTTGAAGGGAGTCCAGCACAGCGCTGAGGGCTGAGGTGATGCACTTCAGGGCCTTTTGAGCTGTAGGCCCAGCGGTTTGTGCTTGCCAGCCGCTCCTTGGAGACCCTATACAGGGTCGCTACAGGTCGGAACTGACTAGACAGCACCTGACAGCAAGGAGAGGAGGGCAGAAGTGACTGAAAGAGAGGATTCTAAAAACATACACATATTAGGAGTCAGAATTTTCTACCTTAATTTTTTTTTCTCCCCATTTTAT